CTTGGTTAAAAAGATATATGTACTTCAGGTTCATAGAATTTTGATGCATGTTTGTTCACTGCCAACCAGAGAATCTTCATTCCGCCATGGATAATAAGCATAAGCACGTGGTGAAAGTAATTTTCATGCTCTTTTATTTTGTTTGGCGTCAGATAACGTACTACAGCCTTAATTTTCCTGCGCTTCATTACTTCATTAGAGTTGACTAATTTTATTCTTGGAGGTGACTGACTTGTGAGATCAGTATTTGTGCTTAAGGGAACATGTAATTCAGTTGCATAATGTGCAAGTATTTCTGGCTGTGCATCATTTGTTGTACAATTAGTTTTGTGCTCTTTGAAATAGTATGCAGCAAATTCAGCTAAACATAAGCCTTCCACAAAAGGGATTTATGTGGTCTCATGCTGTAGCATTCTATGATATGTGATTTGTAAATATCTGTGCTATCATCATCTAATGCATCAAGTTCTGGCTGGCTTCATTTGGCAACTCGAATTCTTTTCTCTGGCCATTGCGTGCTGCCAAAAACTGTTTTAGGAAATACCTTTCTTAACCAAAGTTCAGGCATACATCTGTATACACATTCCTGTGAACTTCCTGTGAACTGACTTCTCTAGTAAAAAGAAAAGCTGCTCCTATTTTTCTCAAGCTCTCTCTTATATTCATATTTGAAACTTTAGCTTCTTTTGCTGCATTAAGAATAGCCTGTGAACACTCGGTTCACCCTTTGTAAAGTATGAGCAAACATACGTTACACATTTATAATGATTGAAAATAGGCTGCAAGTCAACGCTGGCTCTAAAACTTTTTACTCCAGCTACAAAATAATTGTTGATAAAACAGCTATCAAGTGGTCTTTTACGGTGCAGATCAAAGTCAGAATCACGAGATACAGAAAGAGCCCAGCAATATTGTTCTTCTGTGATACCTAATGGACTCAGTATCTCTTTTTCTGATTTTGTTGGATTATATCGTGGCGTTTGGATTTAATACTTTATCTACTTCCTCTTTGACTAAGCTAAGGATTTCATTTCTTCTGGTCAACATGCTTGTTTTGACCTCTTCATCTAATTCCTCGGAGAGTAGTTGTGCTACAACTGTTCTGTTTGTGAAAAAGAGGCCAAAATTGAACCTGCAAGGGATATTTCTGTACTTCCTACAAGTCTTAGAGTGACTGTGCTTTTCATAAGTTGCAACTAATTCAAGACATAAAATTCTGGGTCAGTTTTGATATCTAGCAGGTACGCCTGAACATGAGTATCTATGAATTCCAAATTAAAAATGTAGTTTTGCTTTGTCTCGTGTGTTAGCTTTGGAAAATCCCTGGTCCATACCAATGCATGAAGATGAGGTGGTCCTCTCATTTGAAATTCAACACGTAGAGCATAATGAACCATATATTTTACCAATAGGATTTGCTTTGGTGAGCAGTACTTCAGTAAAAAATGTTTCAACCCTAGACTGAAAATGCTTAGCAACAATAACAGGGTTTAAGTTAAGCATTGAGCATCTTTCATTGTAAGACAGTGTTTCAATTTGTTCATCAGTTAAATTGAGGCCTTGTGTTCTACCAATAATCTGAAACAATTAGGCTTTCTCAGGTCAGTGCAAGACAATGTCATAAACCGGGTTGGAATGCCAAGCTGTTTTACCATAGCAACAACTTCATACATAAACTTTTGCCAGTAGGGTGGTGTCCCTGGGATTTATCTTAGGAATAAATAGGCCTGGTCTTGAAATACCAGATACTTTAGATAGTTAGAAACTTTATTAACGTGTCAAAGAACCCTCTAGTTTGGGAGATATCCCATACTAATGTGGGGACACAAATAAAATGGATAAAAATTATTTACAAAGAATATTACCTACTTAAGAATAAAATTAAGTCATATCATGTATGAAAAAATATGAAATGAATTAAGAAGTATATAGGGCACAGTCCCTGCAGCCATCATCTAATAAGGAGCTGAGGTCACGCTTACGTATGCGGTGTTTGAAACTAGCTAATGTTGTGGCTGATCTGTCATAATTTGTCAGTTTACTCCATAATTTAGGTCCTAAATAGCATAGTGAATGTTTGCCGTAAGTTATCGTGTTGTATCTAGGAATAGAAAAGTCGGCCTGTCTTAAATTATAGGAAGCATTGTGTTTCTGAAATATATTACAAATAGTCAAGGGGCTTGTAAAGTTTGTGCATTGGATCTTAAATGTGATGCAGTGAGATACTGTTCATGAACTTTTGAGAGAGCTATGTTAATGCTGTCTGATACTTTTTTCTGTTCTATTTTGAACTGTGCAAAGAACAAATATTCAGGATTCATTGCAAACCTGCCACTACAGTGTAAAAGGCGGGTATTGAAGTATTTTGTCGGTGATAACTTAACTGCTCTTTCTATAGCATAGCCAAATCTGCCCTTAGGGAATAATACTGGAAATGCATATGCTAGTTCTTCACAATGTTTGTCAGTGATGAATGAGGGTGGATGTTTATTTTCACCTGGTGCAGTATTAAAAATGTCATTTCCAGCTGACTTTATAGTACCCCTGTGCTGCAGATAGGGAGGATAATTAGGCAAAATTGATTGCAAACATGTTTTTGTAGTTTGTGCCCTAAATTCATCCAAAGGATCCTCTGTCTCTTTGCCATTTTTTTCTTCTGTTGCTTTCTGTTCAAAACAGATGTTACTTCTTGGAGAAACTTCACTGTCTTTTTGTGAAATAGTTTGCAGCTCTAGTTGAGTAAGATTTCTGTTAATGTTCTCAGTATTTACTGTTATGTCACTATAGAAAGGATTATTAACCCTAAGCCAAGTTAAAGCATTAACTACAACATCAGGTCAAACAGCTTGAAAATAAACATGATCTTTTTCTTTTCAGATTTAGCATAATTATTCCAGACCTTTCAGGAGGTCAAAACAATACAACTTTTATCCCAACCTATAGGGAAATTACATGCAGCCCCTTTAATTATTCGTTGTTGACCTTCTGGCATAACTTTTTTTGAAAGACAATGCACCGGGCTATATGAATCTGCTCTAGTTTTTCCAGACATCCCAGTTCTGAAGGGACTTCATCGAGCATTAATTTGTTACAAACAGCTTGGCATGGAGTTTGTCCTTTTGACATCTTATGGTTACATGTTTTACAAATGTATTCTTGATTATCAAATGACCTTTTCTCAGTAAAAAGATGCTGAATGCTGTATTTATCCTTCTTTAATTGTCACTGTTTTTCTATAGAGGATTCTATTACAGACAGAACATATGTAATAAGGGCCTTCTACGATTTTTTTTTTTAAAGGAAGTGATACAACAATTCAAGCCATTGCATTTAGTAGCTTTTGTCCGCTTAGCCATACTTGTTAAATTCCTTTGTTTTACAAGGAATTTCTCTTTTTCCAAGCTACCCATGTTTTAATAAGCTTGTCTTGTTTTAGCTCAAAGATGTTGTCTTTCATTTGCATCCATAGAGAGGTACTTTTCCGTACAACCAGTCAGAACTTTCTTCTTTTTATACTTGTAATACTGATGAGATGTGTCCATGCATTTTTTTTCTTTGCAGGTCCAAGTTAAGCATAAGACATTTACCTTTATATTGCCACTTTCATTTTCTGCTTGGAAGATTTGTGATAATTCAGAATCTTTTGTCTGTCAGCTTAATTAATTGACATGTACAAAATAGGGATTGAACAAAATACTCTGCCTTATTAGAATTAAGCCAATTCATTACACTTTCACAGATTGTTTGGACTAAATGATGTGTACTGCTTGCCCTAACTAACTCAAGCCCTTGAGTTTCATCCCTAGTGATTAAAAAAAATGTTGTGCTTCTGCTGGTTTTGTGAAAAACACAGCTATAACAGAGCTCAGGAAAATAGAGCTAAAAACCTGTATTCTTACTTGAGTTTGCAGAATGAACCTCTCAAGACCTACTTGACTGGAAGACGAAGTACAAACAAGGGTTCCTTTACTACTGCTAATAAAATTCACATTAATATTGACACCATATATATTAATATTCTCTGGTAGTACTGAAGAACACTGAGATTTAATAGTATCGAAAAAGAAGGCGCTTCCATATTCAACAATAGCATCTGATGTGTCAGAGTTCCAATAACTACAAGGCTTTAGAACTGAAAAACAAATGGCATACAATGCTAAAGCAGAGCTCTTTGCTGCAGTACAAATTTTATTATTATCAGAAATATTAAGTAAAGCACCAACAGAATCCTGCTGTGAAGTATTACTGGTCCTGGAAGTTGCTTCGATGTCATTATTAATGCTTATTGAAGACTTCTCAAATATTGCAAAAAATCAACCTTTGGGGTGGCTATGTAACAGATCGTAGCATGAAGTGTAATTTCTGACTGAACTGCACAAAGTCATATACCCAAAGAGAGTCATCTTTTATAGTCACAGTGAAATCAGGTGATTTAAACATCGAACCATGCCCTTGAGTACATAATTTTGCCCTAAGACATCCATCGTTAAAGGAAAAAATACTTGGTCAATTATATCACATAGTTCTATAGATAAAAATTTTGGAAGTATAACAAAATGTTGCACCATTGAAATATCTCCAGAATCCTTTTGACAAATATCACATTTAAGTCTACTGCTTTTTCTTGATATAGTTGCAGAAACCCTATCTTGAAATTTGATTTGAGACAAGTCTGGAGAAGTTATGTAAATTGTAAACAAACTTGTGTTGTTGGAAATTGCTTTATTACAACATGAACAAATTGATTGCTCTATCTGTTGAACAAGAAAAAGAGACTTTAACTGTCAAGTCATCACACCAACTGTATTCAATGTAAATGTCACTAAATACAGCATCATCAGATGATGTGGTAAAAGAGTAATAACATTGTCTTAAATAAGCCCAAACAGGTTCTCAGACCACTGTTGTATCTGCTTGTGCATCACTATTTTCTAACTGTAGAGACATGCTTTTCTAACAATTTGAAAGAACTCATTACTGTTGATACATGCATGTTTTAGAGTCTTTAAAAATGGCAAATGTAAGTTCCAAAAGAGTCCACTGCACAAGAGAATTTGCCTGGTTGGGTTAAGCAGATATTCATAAAATTTTTTTCGACAATTACGTGAAGAACCAGGTTTGTGGGAGTCCTGAGAAGAAATTTTAAGGAAGCTGGGTATTTTCTCCACTGGTTTTAAAATACTTTGCTTATTTTGTTGCTGGAAAATCATTTGGCAATCTATTAAAGGCTCTGTTGAAACATAATGAAATTCATCCAAGTGCCCAATAAAAATAGGAAGCTGTGTGTGTGAAAGAGAGGGAGCAGTCACTCCTTCCACTAAAGTAATCTCAGCAAAATCTGGGTGTGATTCAATTAATGTGAAATTTCAAATTAAATGCATCTGCTACTGCTTTTATGATAATTCCATCAGCCCTTGGAAGGGCCCTGACACAACGTACTGGTTAAATATTGTATCCATGAACGTTCACAATTACTTTCAATAAATCTTTCCAGGTTTTCTGTCAAGAATTGTATCCCAGCAGCTCGAATAATGCCATGACTGTTTGGATTTCCATATAACTGATGTGACACTGCTCTAAAGAAGCAATCTCCATCACCACCAACATCCAGGGGTTTCAGTCCAAACTGATGTAGCCTCAACTCCAAAATGCTTAATGTAGGAGCTCTTACTACACTGTTTGTTTTCTTATAAGTAAATGGACCTGGGTTTAACTCCACATCACCAGACATCAAAAGCTTTTCTTTTGACATGCAACACTGATCCTGATGAAAATCAATGCCTACATTACTGCAGCTGTAAAGAGACTGGCATCGAAATTTAAAATATTTAGTGAAAAAACAATCTGTTCTGTGTACATAATTTACATACCATAACCTATAATTCTTCAATAAATGATGCATTTCGGATGAAACAGGAGTTAATTTCAAAATACTTTTCATATATTTTCTTCTAATTCGCCTTTTTCTCATTTTTTTAATTAGCCTCTTCACAGGTATTCTGGACAGTTCCCTGTGACTTTTCACATGTTTGACTATCCATCATTTAAGTTCTCTTACCCTACATCTGAGGATGTGGTTTGAACTTTCACTGAACTTAACATCCTTAGAATCACAGGAACATATACCATACTTTAACATCACAACAGGCTTACTTTCATCTAAACTTTGACTCGACACAGCTTTCACAGTCTCTCAGTCAATAACAGGTGTAGTAGAATAACGTGCAGGTAACCCTTGTAATATGGTGGCTCCAGTGATAATTTCATGAAGCTGTGCTTTACTTTTCATGTAACTAAGAAGGACTTCATTCATGCCATACACGGGCTTATCCATATCATCAGACAATGGCTTTCAGGTATCCTCTCAAAGAGAGGCTTAATAATCCTCTGAAGAAGCTAGTATAGCTTTTTTTTTTTTTTTTTTTGCTGTCTTAGGAGTATACTTATTAAAGATTAAAGGCTCACTTTTCCTCAAATGAGGCTCATCAATTCCCTTTTGAAAGGGCTCAATTATTCTCATCAGAGGCTCACACATTCCCGTAATAAAAGGCTTTTTATTCTCCAAATGGAGCTCAGTAATGGCCGAAAGTAATTTTCTCACTTGTGCTGTCTCAATACTACTACATATGGCCTGTACTCTTTATCTTACTATGGTAGCAAACTATGGAACTCCCTCTTCAACACGACCAGGCCACTGCCAACAGTTGCAGCTTTTAAATTGGCTACTCGCAATTTCGAATTGGATACTGACTGCTGTCCATTCTGTAAATAGTTGTAAATGTTTATCCTATTGTATCAATTATCAAATTGTATATATTGTGTTTTATGTATTTATCTTATTCTCTATAACTATTTCATTTTATTTATTTATGTATTTTCTCGGAGATATCAGCATTTTTTTGCTATTTTAAATTCGAGATGAAATAAAGGTTTGTTGTTGTTGTTGTTGTTGTTGTTGTTGACTCCGTTCGTCTACGGTGCATAACTGCCACGAATATTCTCGCAACTAGACCTCATTAATGGGTGACAGTAATTTTCTCGCTTGTGTCGATTGACTGCGTTCGACTACGATGCATAATTGCCCCAAATATTCTCGCAAACATCGACCTAAAACTTCACAAAAATAGCGCACACCTTTCATTAGACCGATTTACAAGAACTTGAAAGGTGTGAGGAGTGAAAATTAATAAGTGCAAGTTTTAAGCACTTACAAACACTTACCCGTGAAAGACCACGAGGAAAAGATCCTGACTGCGAGGCGCGGAACGTTTTGGAACGTTCTTGGAACGTCCTTGAAACGTCCTTCAAAGAGGCAAATCGATCAAAAATCGATAAACATTTTGTACAATCCTATTGGTCAAAGACCACGAGGAAAAGATCCTGACTGCGAAGCGAGGAACGTTTTGGAACGTTCTTGGAACGTCCTTGGAACGTCCTTCAATGAGGCAAATTGATCAAAAAACGATAAACATTTTCTACAATCCTATTGGTCAAAGACCACGAGGAAAGGATCCTGACTGTGAAGCGAGGAACGTTTTGGAACGTTCTTGGAACGTCCTTGGAACGTCCTTGGAACGTCCTTGGAACGTCCTTGGAACGTCCTTGGAACGTCCTACAATGAGGCAAAACTATCAAAAATCGATAAACATTTTGTACAATCCAATCCAATACGATCCAATTGGTCAGCTTACCAACAGAAAAAAAATCGATAAAGATTTTACGCAGTCCTATTGGCTAGCTTTGCAATTGGTCCTTACAATGAAAAACAAACCCAACCGGATTTTTATCATCGTATGCCCAGGGCATCCCACGGAAAAACATAGAAAAAAACCAAGCGAACGCTTGTTTCGAAGTCATGTTCCGAGAAGAAGACGAAGAAGTAGATGTAGAAACAAATCGTTTGGTACGATGGTTGAATTTAACCCGTGACAAGATGAAAAAAGAAAACGTTTTCAGGGCAGAAGATTTTTCGAAGCCATGGGCATCAAGCGATCTGGCATTCGTTGTAGAAGGAGAACAGCTTCATGTCCATCGATGGGTTTTGTCACAGGGTTCTCCAGTCTTCGAGAAAATGTTCACATCGAATTTCTCAGAAAAGGACAAAGAACAGATAATTATGCCTGCAAAGAAAATGACCGAGTTTCACGATTTGTTATTGATGGTGTATTCGCTCGCGGAGCGCTCGATAACGAGCCAAAACTGTTCTTATCTTTTAAAACTCGCCGATGAATACCAAATAGGATTTCTTCTTGAAAAGTGCGAGGATTTTCTAGTGGCCACATCTAGTGACATTTTCGCAGGAACTTTGAGCCTAAAGGCTATTTTCAGCGACTTTTTACTGGAGCAATCCGCTTTCAAGAAGGAACAAGTTTTAGCTCTGTTGATTCTCGCACAAGAGTACCACATGGAAAATTTAATCTCGAACTGTCTTTGGGAAGCGCGTAAATTCAGCTTGACGGAGTTGAAAAAAGACTATCAAGAGCTGTGTGATCTGCTGGAGCCTAAAATTTATTGTGGGATGCTGGAAAGGATCATTGAACGAATGGAGGACAGATTTGTTGTATTTTGACATTCATTTCTCAACCATCGAGCTCTTGCGCAAACAGGCACCGGAGCGTCGCAAGCCTCCTGCGGCTTCCGTCACTTCTTGCTTTTGCGGCTTCACCGCTCAAACCTTTTTTGCGCACAGAAAAACTGCCTGCGATACAGTTTCAGTACCTGTTGGGTCGAACGTAATTGTCCTCATTCTTGATGTCAGCGCACAGTAAGCCCAAGCTCACACCGTGAACTGGACTGAACTGATTAAAAAAGAAATAGAGTACTGCTGTTTATTTGCTTGTATATTTGTTCGGGCTGCAAGTATTTTCCATGCACATTTAAATCGACAGATGCTAGAATTTTTGTATCTTGAAGGGATTAAATCTAAACAGTCCTGACTTGTGCTTTTGATTTTTTTTATGGTTAATTACGGGATCCAATATTCGTCTAGTCTAGCATGGTAAGGGTCTAATCCTATTAGATTTTACCATGCTTACGTTCAAAAGAACAGTTGATGCTGACAATATGTACCACAGACTTGAGTCTCCGAAGTAGAGCCGAAGATTCCCGAGTACAGTCAACCAATCATAAGACAGCATAACCCTCTAGCTGTGTTCCATTAGTTGGTAACTTTCCCGAGAAAACCCGAGTCCTCGACAACTCTCGCGCTCGAATTCAAGTATGTAATTTTCCTCATTTAAATAACACAAAGTGTCCTACTATTGCTCTGGATTCTGGACTCTAAGAACGACTGGCACAGACGTGCAAGGAATCATTCCTACTTCAGTGATCACCATGGAAACAAAGTGAGGTGGAGTGACGTCGTAGACTAAGTTTAAAAGGTGAAGGGAGTTGACATCTCGCCAATCAGATAGTACATCCGGGCTTTCTCTGTCTAAAGGGACTAAATCATCCGGGTCACCTGAAAGAGAAGTCATTATTAGCCCGGATAATGTCACTTGAAATTGACAAAAAATACTAGAAGCTCGGCTAGTGTTCGCAAGATGAGAGAAACGTCAGCTGTCCGGCTCTTTCATGTATTACTACGCGCTGATAGTGAATACAGTAGATAATTTCCTTTCCGAATTCTTGCGCGATTTCACCGCTTTCACTTACAGGTGAATTGTTTCGCCTCGGTTACTTTAACCCTCGACAACCTAACCTCAAAATGCATATTCTTAATACTGTTCTCAGAACCTTTCTTATGGTGATCACTGGGAGAATTTGCTTTACAATCAGGAGCGTCTTAAGCTAACGATTATCTCCTCAAGGTTCGTACCCTCTTTCAGAATCAAATTTCAAGGACTTTTGCAGGACTTTTCCGGGCTCAGATTGATTTTCCCGCGGCTCCAAATTTGACCTTCATTCCTTTCATTCCCAAGATTTCAAACTCAGTTCTCCTCCTTGCAGTCTTTACACATTTCTTATAACGTAAATTCTAAAAACTATTGCTTGATTTAAGCAAATTTCCAGGACTATCCAGACCCTGAAGTTTTTTTCCAGGACTTTTCAGTCCTGGAAAATGTCAAAATAGAAAGAAAGAAAGAGAGTCTTAAGCACTCTAGACAGCAAATGTGTCTAATTACAATGATAAGGTTGAGATCGGACGTCAGCATTATCAGGCGCCTCTGGCAGCCGCTTCAGTCCATGTAACGATCTCACCTTCCCGCCCATTCCACCCCAGGGGAGGACATCCGCCACACAGTAATCTCGTGCGTGGGAAATTAACGTCTCCTAGCCCTAACCCTGCAGGAGACCGGGCCTACGGTTTATTCGTCCTTATCCGAGAAGAGTAGAATATCTATCCATTTCTTGATATTATAGAAAGGTAGTAAATTCTCCTCAGTTATTTTAAGACCATGAGTATTAGTCCGGCCGGGACTCGAACCCTCGACCTCCCGCACAACAATCCGGCGCTCTAACCAATTGAGCTAACCGGGAGGTTAAGACTTAGGACTTCCCAGGTTTTCCAGAACCCGTACGAACCCCATCTCCTTCGTTCTGGTGGCCTTACAGTTTGACTCAGTGCTGGATGGTGAGGAGACATTCGATCCAAGCCACTCTTAAGGGTTGAGGGCTAAAGCAAGACGTGAGGTCTAAGAATTGAAGAAAATGATTCTGAGAATCTTTCATTTACTTACTAAGCTCGTTGGATACAAAGGAATCTGTTTGAACTTTATCACAGAATTTGTACGTCTCGCAGCAAACCAGCACAGGGACGTTAGAGGCCTGGGCCATCATCGCCACCATGGAAGACCCAACACGCGACTTGACGTAGCCGTTGGCGAGTAGGGCATGGGCACCAAGAAATACTTTTGACACCTTCACAAATTAAGCACAATGAAACAAAGAAAGCGAGAAAGAATATCATAATGGGGTGCTAAGACGAATCTAAGCTATATTTAGACCACTGACGTAAAGTTTTCTCATCATTTGTCACGATATTTCATCAGAAACCGCTTTAGAAATTGTTAATTCTAAGAGTATGCACGAAGTTCAAGTCATCTAGAGTACTGTTCTTATGCATGAAAATACAAAAAAAAAAAACAGAAAAAATTCGAACCCCTTTGATAACGTACTGTTCAATAAAGCATTGATCAACATAAGGATAGTTACACCACTTCAAAAAAAGAAAAATACTAACCTCTTTGATAACGTAGGATATAGCACTGATCAACACGTATGAGCATCTGATTCCTTCTTTCACCAACCTCCTTAGACATTCTCGTCCTAACAAGAGAGAAATAAGTAACACGGTGAAAAAGTGTTGAGACTAAAATGAACAATGTGCAAGCAGAGATAACGCAGTGGTAAGCGCTCGTCTGCCCCCGCAGTGACCTGGGTCCGATTCTCGGGCTTATCGTCACGTTTAAACACGAAGGGGCGCTACAAAAGGAGCCTTAGGTCCCACTGGACCATTTGTCAATCAACCGTCGTGTGATGTAGAACTCTTAGAGTCACGTCAGCTTGAGCTACAGCTACTCCAAAGCAGTGAACAGCGGGCGCATTCCTCAAAATTTTTTTATGTCTTCATCACAATACAACAATTTTTTTAGATTTGTATTTCCTTTCTCCAATTGAGACTGTCTTTATTTGTGGCGGTAAATTTGAGATCGAAGTAGGTGGTTCGCACGTTACCTCACGCCACCATGCTGGTGGAAGTAAGCGATAGATATCTCTTTAGCTTCTTTTGTTCGTCTACCAGCATTTAAATTTGACCCGCACATGTCAACGGTGAGTGAAAAATGAGCCTAGGTCTTCCCAGGGAAGACTTCCTTAGATAGCGCGCCTTCGTGTTTAAGTGTTACATGCAAATGTTTATTTTGAATACGTTAGCGAGTTTGTTGTCCCAATTCTCGTCTGTGCTACGACGACTTTTCTCCAGTGTCTCTAGTTAATCCCACACTGTACAAACGAGAGGCTTCAAGGTAGGACTATGAAAAATAAAATAGAAAGTTCAAGAGAAACTCTTTTTGTTTCATTGAAATCCTTTAGAGATGATACCACAATAAAACAACATCAAACCACTGCTATGAGGAAACTTCACCTTCAAATTTTGGTCTCGAATCAACAACCACCACTCGGAATTTTTTTCCAGCACCATGTGCATCCTTTAAAATCTTTAACACCAACGAGGAACTGAAAAGTAAATGAAAAGACAATTCTTGAGAAAGATGTCCTCGTTATCTTTGCTTGGGAAACTGTATAGTGTCAGAACATCATGACGGTCAAACAGACAGGTGTCAATATTCAATACAAAATCATATCAACTAGGGGATATGGTTCAATATATATAGCACCAGATTATCTAAGTTAAGTTATAAGTACGAAAGTCTGGCTGAGACAGCGAGGAGAAATTATTTTGTCTGTTATTCTGCTAGCGCATAACCTACAGAGCAGGTGCAATTTTCTTACGTTTTTCATTCGAACGGAGGAGCCAAGCGCGAGGCAACACTTTGGCCCCGCTAATCTGCCTGTTCTGCAGACTAGGGGGTACACATACCTTACTATGATCTGGGAGTGTAAACACTCTAACAATGATTCTGGAGTGAAAAACGCTTACAGCCCTTTCGAGTAGATAAAAAATTGACAGATCAAACCAAATATCTCAAAAATAGCTTGGTTACTCAGGTCAGCTAAAGGAAACTTCTACCATACCAGGCATATGTGAGTATCACATCACCGTCATTGATCTTGGTTCTTGCATATGACTCAGAGATGGCTACACCAGCTAAAACAATCCTTTCTTGAATAAATTTATCAATACTCTCAATAAGATTCTTCTTTGCCTATACCAAAATAAAAAACAAAAACAAAGCTTAACACAAAAAAAGAAAAAAAAAGGATGGTTTTGAATGAGACACAATAATCTCAAATGAGTTTATCACATGCTGAATGCATGCAAATATCTTGGCATGTGGTGAGTTTCTATTAACTCTGGATTGACAGCATCACACAGCAAGTACCGAGTGTATGACAACTTGGATGAATGGCAAAGTGTTAAGAGTTTTATATTGCACGCAGCCAAAGTCCCCTCAGGGCAAAGCTATAAAACATACAATTTTACCTGATCTTCTGCCATGTCTGGTGGAGTGTGAGTGATCTGTAGCTTCAGATATTTGATAGCGTTGCCCATGCTGACTGACAGAGGTCGGCACTGTGTCAAGAAACTGAAAGGAAACATAATAATAATAACAATAAAAATAAATTGTGGATTTATATTGCGCCGTTTCCATGACGAGATGATCGACTGCACATTATAACAATGTATGGAATAAATACTGATTACATCATTACAACAAGCATGAAATAAATACTAATTACATCATTACAACAATGCTTTGTAATAGATGCCAGTTACATCATGTGTAGTATAAAATATTAAAAGCTAAGCTAACTAAGAATAAAAAGCCTTACTAAAAAAATGCATCTTTAAGAGATTTTAAAAGTGTCGACATATTTAGCCATTCTAATTTCCGAAGGTAAATCATTCCAGAGTAACAGCGCCGAAACAACGAAAGCACAGTTGCCTAGGGTTTTTAAAGTTTTAAAATTCAGGTAAGATAGCAGTATTCTGTCACTAGAACGCAGTCCATATAAAAGTAAACATAAAATATAAAGAAGATGGCTGATTATTCAAAAATACTGCATGATGTATAAGCCATAATCTTCTGTAACAATTTTGTTTTCCTGGTTTAGAATAGGTTGGATGATCAAAGAAGTGAAAATAATTACCTTATATTTGGTTTAATTTTTGCATCCAGGTCCCTACAGAGCTCTTTTTGAGGGGGAGTGATGTAGTCAGCAATTAACTGTTAAAAATAAAATGACAAGAATTTATTAACGATCTGATTTTTTCTGGAACAACTGCTCATCTTACAGATACTGTCAGGAGATAAAAAAAGATTTTACAATATAACAATCATGTACATACATACGCGAGACATTGCAGAGCACGCCTTAGTCATGTAAGTAAAACAGTTTGTGTCTTCATTGTACCTTTTTGAGAGCCAGAAGTAAAGCCACACATCTTGCATTTGATCCACATATTATTCCTTTGGCATACTGCACACCAAGTTTAATTACAGCTGGGTGGATAGGGGTGCTCCCTGAGCCACCAAAACTTTACACGTAAAATGAAAATATAAAAAAAAGCAGAAGTTAGTTGTGTCTCAAACCTGACTGAACTTGACAGTGGTAAGATAAAGATTACCACGACTTCTGCAATAAATGGTGTTCTGAATAGCACACACTGTAGTCAGTGGCCAACAGTTTGCACACAGGTTTCAAGATGGAAAGGTTTTAGCCTCAAGTGCTAGTCTAGGTATACTATACTTAGTAACTGTCCTCTATTCACAGGCAAACACTCTTCTAACCATGCCCATCTCCCTCCAAGAGTATAAACAACAACTGGTCGGGGGAGGGGAGAGGGGAGAAGGAGGAAGGAGGGTGGAAGGGAAAGGGGGAAAGGGGGAGGGGGGAAGGGGAGGGGAAGAGGGGAGCCAGGAAAAAAACCCAAAGGGTAAACCTGCTAGGGGCAGGCATCCATCCACAGGAAGTAATGGTTTGTAGAAATACTCCTTGTTTCATAGACTGATAATGTAAACTTGGTAAACTCTGACAGAGTGGGCCCCTGGCAGGTATCCACGACTGCTGTTTCTAATATGTAGTAAGCCTTCCTTTCACACAAATCATGTACCTTATTTCTTGTGTCAAAGACAAGTCCTTTTCATATTGATGCAGATGGGAAAATAAACCAACTTTCTTCTGAGGTGTTGTACGCTGGGGAACCTGACATTCAAACAAAAATAAATAGCATATGAAAATACATACTAGAGTTACATCACAAACTAGAGCAGAAATGAAAGTGAAATTTTTCAATAGGTTAAGCAGTGTGCATAAAATAACATCATCCCTTCTCTGACCTGCTGTCTCGCCAATTTCTTGGCCACTTTCTTTTGAACCTTCTCATCATCAGCTTGAAGATCATGCGCCACTTTCACCCGATTAGTACCTAGTCATATAAAAGGGAGAGTTTCTACAGATTAACAAGTAAAGAAACAAGTAGAAATTGTTGAAACAAAACGGAGTGACCACAGGTTTCTCTCTGAAGAATCATTGCTGGTCTAACAACGATCCTATCTCAAATAATAATCTGCAGTGCTGAGGTCTTAAGAGCTTCAATCCATTCACTCTGAAGATCTTCTTCTATCCTACAATTCTCATGACGTTAGTTCAGGGAATTTGGTTCGTGATTTCAATGTCATTTATTTTATGTAATAGAATAAAATCTACTACACAAAATTAGTTAGATATCTGTAGTAAATGGTTTGAACCCGGGGATAACATGTGAAAGCGTTGTGTGATTGTCTGGGTGAGTGTGGTCCCGAGAAGGAATGTTGTCGATGGTGGTGACTGACCTTTCGACAACCTGTGCAGAAGTCATCATCAGAGTCAAGGGACTCTGATGATGACTTCCGCACAGTTGTCGAAACATCAGTCACCACCGTCGACAACAGTCCTTCTCAGGACTACACTCACCCAAATGATCATTAGAAATTAGAATAAATAAAGGTTGTTGTTGTTGTTTGAGGTTAGATATCTCTCAATCAAAAAAAAATAAGATAGACAGGATGAGGAAACAAAAGGAGGAAAGAAGGTACATGTGACAAAATGATCCGTGACTTCAACAGTACCATCAGTGCTAGTCTTGTGTTTTATTCCAGCTTCTGCTTGTTTTTGAGCCTTTGCTGCTCGTTGTGCTTCCTGTGTAAATTAAAAGACAGCACCCATAAGGTTTCAAAAGCACATTTCCCTTAACATGGTGTGCCCAGTTGTATGAATCCTGGATGATGCGCTCTACTACATAAATTCTATCCAGTGGATAGAGCAGTACATTCTGTAAACCCTTATCTGCTGGATAGTTTATTCAGTGGATAGCACCATCTGCATTTTGAATACAGGGCTCTCCCACACTTCAGACAAAATTCAGGAGTCCTTGAAAGAGTGTGATTTCTCTTGTTGTTAACAAAAAGTGATAAATAAATTAATCATTTGATGATAATGTAACAACCTGGCAGTATCCCAAGGGCAACAAAAACTTAATTTGTTGTTGCAACAACTTCACTTGTAACCAACTATAACTAGCAATTCAAATAAGAGCAATTATAGTCAATATGTATAGAGAGTAAAGGCTGCCTTTAGTAACTATAAGACGATTAAAAAGCTAGGGCAGCTAAATAAATTAAAATATATAAAATAATTTTTAATTTTGGAAAATAATTGATAGATATTAGGGTCAGGTACTACTTGCGCAAACGCCCCTACACAAAACAAAAAAAGCACAAAGATCAAAAACATTAAAAAAAAAAAATACACACACCTGAACAGCTCTCCTCTCAGCTTTTAATTCAGCTTTGGTCTTCTGTGGCTGTTCACTTGCCTCGCCTCCTGGAGTGGCTGGCTTCTCATCCTTGCCAGTTACTTGTTTATCAACCTTCCCTGCACTGGGCTGTGCCCCTGGTTTTTGTTGTTGTTGAGGCTGCTGTTGTTGTTGTTGTTGTTGCTGCTGCTGCTTTTGTTTTGGTTGTTTTTGTTGTTTCTTACCACTTTTTTGTTGTTTGCTCCCCTTTCCCTGTGGCTGACTTTTTAATTGCCCACTATCGGGACCCTGAAGAGAACAGTAAATACTTAGTTCTTATTAACGGAGCGGGAGGTCTGTATGGGAGAATCTTGACCGAGGTAGCCACTACAGACCAAACGCAGTGAGGTCTGTACCAGCGACTGAGGTCAAGATTCTCCCATACAGACCAACCTAGCTCGGTGAACAAGATGTTTATCATATGGCCGTGTCTAGAAAGCAACGGAACATATTCTTTGTAGCTTTTTTTCCAGATCAGTCTAGATGCCGGTCTACATGGGAAAATCTAGACCACTTTCAATATTGATTTCAGCCAATCAAATTCGTGAATTCAGTAGTTCCCAGTCCTTGTGAGACACAGCCATATAATAAAGAGAAACACAAATGTTACACTCCTAGAAGCAAGTAACATTGAACATTTTAATTCTCCTTACAATATCAAAACACTGAATAAACATCAAAGCAATCTTCGCAGTAATGAATAGTACCTGTTGCAGTTGTGAAAATAAGGCCTGAATAAAATTCCAGGTCTGTACAGGATTTGATCCCATGAACTCAACAGTGCTGGTCATTATAA